CATCCCCGGAGACCTTCGGCAACCCCCCTGCCCGCTCCCTGCTTCGGAGGGAAATGGGGATTTACTTTTACAGGCTATTTATAAGCTCCTCAGAGCTTATATGTTTGAGATAGATGTATATGTTTCATATAGATGTGTGGTTTATACTGATGTATATGTTTTATATTGACGTATATGTCAACAGCTGTTTAGGGTTTATACGGATTTATATGTTTTATGCAGATGTATATATTTTATTTTTTAACAAGACCTCGAGCGGGTGCCTGCACCCTGGTTTGAGTAACTGGGGAGATGCTGGTCCTCACTTGCCTCCCACTCTCTGCAGGGCGAGCTGACATCGCCATGGTCCAGCATCCACCAAGATCCTCACAAGATCAAATCTCGCTCCTGATTTTTCCTCTCAGCTTAATCAGGCACCACTAAGTTCTCCAGCAACTCAGAGCTGATGCTTTGGACCGCATTCAGGCCAGCAAAGCCCTGGGGGACCCCATTTTGACCCTCTTCCCTGCAGAGTCACTCACTCCCTTTTTGCAGGGGGCACAAGGCGTATCTGAGGGAAGGGGGGAGAGACCCCACAGAGGAGGGGGTGGCGAAGGCCTCCCCAGCCCCACACACACTCCCATGTGCTGAGAAATGCAGCGAGGTCTTGTGTGAACACCCAACCCCAAAGGCTGTGCCATGAGGCAAGAGATGTCCAGCCCCAGAGCTCTTTGGAAGGAGGAAATACCTGCAGAAAGGCTGGGGAGTTTTAATGAAAAAAATTATTCAGAAATCACCAAAATCTTGCACCTTGTACAGAAGAGCTCAGATTCCCATCCTGGCATACAGAGGAGCTTCTAACAGCAATTCCCGCTGCTGTAGCAAGAAGCAATGTCCTCCATCTGTGTCTGTGTTAAAGATGGGGGGTCCTGTTTAAGAGGGGAGGAAGAAGAAAACGGGAAAGGCAACAGAGAATATCCCAGCTTAGGGTGGAAAAGCCCCTAAATCACTTGCTGGGTGACACTGAGCAGGGTGTCCCACTCACATCCCTCCGTGGGAGATGCAAAAGCACAACCAGTACACTGTGCTTATAGCTTTGGGACAAACGCGGTACTATTTGATTATTGAAAAACCACTTTCTGTCTACAGTAGGCTGTCTGCACCAGCCGGGAATCGAACCCGGGTCGCAAGAATGGGAATCTTGCATGATACCACTACACCACTGGTGCGTTCGGGATACCACCTGCCGCGCGCCACCAGACCAGGTGCCGTAACACCCACCCCGACGCGGGCCCCGGTGCCCGTAATTCCGTGCAGGAATGTCCTTTTGCTCACAATGTTTAACTTCAGCTGAGAAGAGGGAGCTGAACCCTTTGGCTCCGGCAGCCTCGGGGTCGTCCCTCCAGCCGGCAGGACCGGGATGCTTCGCTGGGGGATGCAGGGACCCAAACCCAGCTCCACAAAGAGCAGCGGGGCGAGGTTCCAGCCCCCTATCTCAGCCTGCTTTTCTGTCCCTGGCCAAGGAAAACACTTTTGAAGACTGAGTTTCTATTGCTGAAAGTGGCAGTGAGTCCCAGGACGTGAGATGGGCAAAAGCTTTTGGGTCTCTATGAGACTCCTACACTCAATAGGACCTCCCAGAACTCGTCCGGAACTCAGTGAGATGTGGTCCCCTCGAAGCAATGTCCCTGCAGCCACCAGTGAGGACAGGCAGGAGTTCAGCAAGTATAAACATTTGGGTGACGCTTCCTCTTGGACGGCCACTCGTGATCCTGCTGACAATATTTAGCAAACACCGGTGTCTCTGGTCCCCACCCACCTGACAGCACTGTTGGCCATAAACACCCTGAGTGCGTGGGTGCTGCCTGCCCTTCTCCCCTTGCTGCTGCAGTCATGCGAAGTTGAGCAAAGGGTGCAGTAACCCTGCCAGGAGTGTCACGGGGGTGTGAAGTCCCCAGGTAGAGCCATTTCTTGCACCACCCTGGATTGCACCAGCCAAGCACTCCCTGGGCCACAGGGGAGCGTGGGAAGCATCGTTTGCAGGACTCCCCAGGCTCCATCGCACTCAGGCACTCAAGGACATCTTTCCCTGATGCTTCTGGGCTTGTCAACCCACATATATCTGCAAAGGGCCTCTCTGCCAGCAGATGCGTGTTCCCGGGCGTGTGAGGCATCCAGCCCAGCTTTCGTGAAACAAGCTGAGGGACTCTCAGCATCCCCACACTGTTGGATATGCTGATGCTTGGATCCAAACCCAGCTGCCCCAAGGGTGCTCAGGCACACCCCCTCAGTCCTGAGTAGTCAAAGAGCAGGCAGAGGTAGCACCTCTCACCGGTGCTGCCATCTCTGCGTGTTGCAAATAAGCTGCTGTGTTGCCCCTGTTATGGTGACAAACCAGGCTTAACTCCACCAATATGACTTGAAATTAATGTTTATTATTCAGAAAGAGTTTGGGGACAGCAGGTGTCGGCATCCAAGGCACCAGCAGCTCTGCAGCTGCTGACACTGACCCACCTGAGAGAGCAAAGGTTGCCCAAAGTCACGACCTCAAGTGGCCCTTGGGAAGCCACAGCCATCACTGGGATTTTGGCTCAGCTGAGTCCTCCTCTCTCTGTCCCTGCTACGCTGGAAGCTGGTCCTCATGCAGGAGATGGGGGACTGCACAGTCTGTCCCCTCCATCACCTCTCTCCCAACCTGGAGACATGAAGACTGCCTGCTGTGGGAGTTTCAGGAACTGATTTGAATTCCAAGGCATCTTCAATAAGGGGGCAGTAAGGCTTTGTGGGCATCTCTGCCTCGTAAAGCCTACCTGGTGTGACACATCTTTACCTACCTAAAAGCTGATCCTGTTTCAAAGCAGCAAAGCTAATCTTTTCCTTTCCTAAGGACATTATTTAACCCAGATCCTGCCCAGCCTGGCATTCATGCTTATCCACACTCACCCAAAGGTCTCTCTTCTACTGTGGAAACTCGGGAGGTGATGGCACTCCCTGAGTTCTGCAGGTTGACAGCCACTCGGGCAGCTGGGTGGGTGCAAGGGGCGCAGCACAGCATGGGGCACGGGAAGGAGCCTGGGGGCTGCAGCCACTGCACTTTCAGGGGGCAGCCCCAGCCCCTTTCTTCCAGACTGTGACGTTTGCGTCCCCTCCATGCCAAGCAGCCATTCTCTCCGGGAAATCAGTCTTCAGGCTCAAAGAGGCAGTCGCTCTCCTCGAGCAGAGCATCCATTCCCTCTTGGAGCCCGTAATAGAGGTCATCCTCCTCCCCGGTGCCTTTGCGGGGTGAACCAGAGTACCGTCCCCTCGCTGGGGAGCTGGTTGGGGAGCAGCCAGAGCGGGCAGCGGATGGTGGGGGGGACCGGCCCTGTGGCATGGGACTGCCGGGTACGGAGTCCTCCAGGGACAGCGTGTCCATGTCCTCCAGGAGGGACACCAGAGGAGCATCCCCCTGAGTTGGCTGGGGAGGGCTGCGAAAACAGGGAGTTACAGTAAGCAAGGTGGATGGGCAGGGTGCAGGTTACACTAAGCACAGCTGGGCTGGAGCTGGGGTTTCCCCTGGAGCTGG